TATTCTTGATGCCTTTTATTTCTTTTATTGCCTGATTGTATTAGCAGTGGCAAATCTGTACAGGCCTGCAGCAACCTCAATTCTTGCCTCCTCAGAAGAATGAATTTGAGTGAGAGGCATAAAGCAGAATGATAGACGGAGGTAAGTTTTGGAGGAGAGAAAGTTTACTAAAAAGCTTTAGAGCAGGAATGAAAAGAAGTAAAGTACACTTGGAAAAGGGCCAGGCTGGCGACTTGAGAGATTCAAGTGTGGTTTGACCTTTTTTCTTAGGGTTTTAAACATTGGCATACTTCTGGGGTCGTGCATGACTTCTCCCGATTCTTCCCTTGGGGTCAGCTGTCCGAATGTGCAGTGGCCTGCTAGCCCTCAGGAGAGGCCGCATGCGCAGTGTGTTTACTGAGTCGTATGCACGCTCACTCCGGGTGTTTTTCCTCTACCAGTCTAGCATTCCTAGAGGAGGGTCATATACCTGTTAAACTCCACCTTTTTGCCTCTTAGTGCACATGCTTGCTCATCCAGCTCTTAAGATCTTATCAGGAAGCTGCTGATCACCAGTTTTAGGTGTTTCTATCTGTTGGGAAACTGCCTTTCCCTGGTGCTGGCTGCAACCAATAATTATTTCGGAGAGACAGTTTAATAACTGCCTGGCCATCACCTGATGTTTGCCTGACGTTCCTGATGGGGGTGCCTCACCTGCCCTGCTCACGTCTAACTACCCACTGTAACAGGTGCACTAGTGAGAACCTCCAGTGCAAGGCTGAATAGAAGTGGCAAGAACATGTATTTTGGAATTGCTCCTGACCCTATGGGATCCGTGTTCAGACTTTCATCATTACTAGGTACGAGACTACCTGTAGGTTTTCTGTAGCTGCCCTTTATAAGGTTGAGAAAGTTCATATTATCAACTTGCTGAGAATTTTTATCAAAAATCTTGTTTGATTTCATCAAATGCTTTTTCTGTCTTAAGATTACCACATTTTTCTTTTCTCAGTTTGTTAACATGGCAATTTCCTCATGAATGAAGTGATTGGTACTCATCTGAATACTCCAGGATGTCTCTCTGCAGATCCTCGGAGGTTTCTGCCTCTGTGCCTTTCTCCTCTCTGGATTCTGCTTCATCAACTCAAGCTGTGTTGGTCTCCCAGGCCCTCAGCTCCATCTTCTCAAGTCCAGGAATCTTCCAGGTTCTGCCTCTGTTCTGTCTTTGCTATGGTCTGGAAGCTCTCTCAGGATGGTAAGCTGTGGCCATTGTGCAGTTCACAATGTTTTTTCTTGTCTCTCAGGGATCACTGTCTTTCATTGCCTGAGGTCCAGTGTCTTAAATGCTATTGTTTTTGTTGTTGTGTGTGTTTGCTTGTTTCAGGAGGGAGGTAAGTCCAGTTCCTGTTACCCCATCTTGGCTGGAAGGGGAGGTCATATAAATGATGTTATACGTATTGCTTTTTTCTAGCTTTCTATTATGGAAAATTTCAAATGCATTCAAACATAGAGAAAATAGAATAATGAATCCCAGTGTATTCATCACCCAGCTTTAACAATGATATTGATGGCCAGCTTTGTTTCATCTGTAATTCAGTTCACTTCTCTGCCTATGCTCTGATCTTATGATACTTTCCCCCTATCAATTTTGAAACAAATTGCACATATTGTATAATTTTACTTGCAGATAACTCAGTTTTTATCTCTAAAATACATAACTTTTAAAAACAAATGATAGGCCGGGTGTGGTGGCTCATGCATGTAATCCCAGCACTTTGGGAGGCTGAGGCGGGTGGATCACATGACATCAAGAGTTTGACACCAGCCTGGCCAATATGGTGAAACCATGTCCCAACTAAAAATATAAAAATTAGCTGGGCATGGTGACATATGCCTGTAATCCCAGCTACTCGGGAGGCTGACACAGGAGAATTGCTTGAACCTGGGAAGCAGAGGTTGAAGTGAGCCAAGATTGTGCCACTGCACTCTGGCACAGAGCAAGACTTCATCTCAAAAACAAACAAACAAAAGCAAATGATAATTATTCTTTAATATAATAAAATTTCTAGCTGTTTTCATTGCTATTTTATAACAGTTTATTCATATCAGGATCCTAACCAGGTCTACATGTTGTATTTGGTGGATAGGTCCTTTTCAACATATTGATTCCTCCCTAGTTTCTCCCTTGTAATTTATTTATTGAAGAATGCAGGTCATTTGTCCTGTATAGCTTCTTAGAGAATGGTTATTCTGGTTGCATCTCCATGTTGTCTTCAATGTGATTCTTTATTGTCTGTAAAATTTGTAGCTAGGTGTGATTCAGGTTCCAGTTTTGGGTAAGTATTTCAGAGGCTGTCGTGTACAGTACATCAGCAGTTTATAATGTATTACTGCATCTCTTTCGTAGTGTTCTAGTAGCATCCTGTGCACACCCCCACCACAGTACAGTCTCATACCTCATATCCTCTGTGGTTATTTTTTTCCTGCTTTCCTATGGGTTACCTGAACATTTTGTTTGATTTTTTTTTTTTAGACAGAATTTTGCTCTTGTTGTCCAGGCTGGAGTGTAATGGCCTGGCCTTGACTCATGCAACCTCTGCCTCCTGGGTTCCAGTGATTCTCCTGGCTCAGCTCCCAAGTAGCTGGATTATAGGCACCTGCCACCACACCCGGCTAATTTTTGTATTTTTAGTAGAGACGGGTTTCACCATATTGGTCAGGCTGGTCTTGAACTCCTGATTTCAGGCAATTCACCCACCTTGGCCTCCCAAAATGCTGGGATTACAGGCATGAGCCACCGTGCCTGGCCTACTTGAACATTTTCTAAAAATCACTTTTGTATAGTTTCCTTAGTGATTATGCTAGGAAGTACATATACCAAATGTAACTTAGTACAGTCTAACATCTATTGATGTTTTGTTACTTTAATTGAAGTAGAGAAACTTTGCTTCTACAATGTCCTCATACCCTTCCTAGTTCTTAAATATAATTGCCTCAGGTATTTATTCTATATGTATTAAACACCAGATCAAATGGTAAAATTTTTACTTCAACCATTACATGTAATTTAATAAACTCATGTGGCTAGTCCATTATATTTACTCATTCCAATGTTTTTTCCCTTTCGGCAGTTCCAAGCCGTCTTCTGTTATTATTTGCTTTTGTTTATAGAACTCCCTTTACCCATTCTCTGATTAGGTAGTCTCTTATGAACATGTACGCAAAAATTATCCACAAAGTACTACAAACTCAGCAGCATGTTAAAAGAACTGTATTACAGAAAAAAGAAAACAACCTACACAATCACCTCAATTGAAGCAGAAAAAGCATTTGACAAAATTTAACACTCTTTCATGATAAAAACATGAAACAAACTACAAATAGAAGGAAACTATCTCAACAAAATAAAAGTCATGTATCAAAAACCTACAGCAAACATCACACTCAAACATCATGGTAAAAGACTGAAAGCTTTTTCTCTAAGATTAGGAACAAGGCCAGAATGTCTGCTTTTGCCACTTCTATTCAACATAGTACTAGAAACTTTAGCCACAACAATTATGCAAAATAAATAAATGGCATCCAAATTGGAAATGAAGAAGTAAAATTATCTGCAAATGACATAATCTTATAAATAAAACCCTAGAGAGTCCACAAAATACCTATTAAAACTAGTAAGTTCAGCAAAATAGCAGGATACAAAATAAACACATCAAAATCAGTTACATTTGTATACACTAACAATGAACAATCTAAAAGAAAAGTACAAAACCAGTTCCATTTAAAACATCAAAAAGAGTAGAATACTTAGAATTAGCCAAAGAAGTGAAAGATTCCTACAATAAAAACTTTAAAAATTTGCTGAAATAGATTAAAGAATATAAACACATCCTGTGTTCATGGTTTGGAAGAATATTGTTAATATGTCAAAACTACCCAACGTGATCTACAGATTTAGTGGAATCTCTATAAAAAACCCAATGATTCCTTTTTGTAGAAATAAAACAAACTCACTCTAAAATTCCTATGGATTCTCAAGGGATCTTTAATAGCCAAAACAATACTGAAAAATAACAAAGCTGTATAACACACTTACTGATTTCAAAACTTACTACAGAGCTATATTAATCCAAAGAGCACAGCACTGGCAAAAAAGACAGACATATGAACCAAAGAGACAAAATAGAGAGCTCAGAAATAAGCTCTTCCATATATGTCAAATTACTTCCTTTTTTTTTTTTTTGAGATGGAGTCTTGCTCTGTTGCCCAGGCTAGAGTGTGGTGGTGCAATTTTGGCTCATTGCAACCTCTGCCTCCCAGGTTCAAGCAATTCTCATGCCTCAGTCTCCTGAATAGCTGGGAATACAGGTTCATGCCCAGCTAATTTTTGTACTTTTAGTAGAGATGGAGTTTTGCCATGTTGGCCAGGCTAGTGTTGAACTGCTGTCCTCAAGTGATCTGCCTGCCTCAGCCTCCCAAAGTGCTGGGATTGCACTTTGAGCTACCCATGAGCCACCATGCCCAGCCACTTTTTTTTTTTTTGAGAGAGGGTCTCCTTATGTTGCCAGGCTGGTCTGGAACTCCTGAGCTCCAGCAATCTTCCTGCCTCAGCTTCCCTAGTAGCTGGGATTACAGGCCCATGCCACCACAGCCAGTTTCAAATAACTTTTGATAAGGGTGTCAAGACCGAAACAATACAGTCCTTTTCAACAACAAGTAGTGCTGGGAAAACTGGACATCCACATGCAAAATAATGAGGTTGGACCCTTACCTAATGTCATGTAAAAAAATGAACTTCAAATGGTTGAAAGACCTAAATGTAAAACCTAGAGCAATAAAACTATTAGGGGGAAACAAAACAAAACAGGGCAAAAACTTCACAATATTGGATTTGGCAGTGATTTCTTAGAAATGGTAACAAAAAAGAAATAGAAAATCGGACTTCATGAAAATTTTAAAAAATTGTGCATCAAAACACACGGTCAAAAGAGTAAAAAAGCAACCCATAGAATGGGAGAAAATATTTGCAAATCACATCTTTAATAAGGATTTTACATCCAGAATATATAGAGAACTCACAAAACTCAACAACAAAATACAACCCAACTGAAAAATGAGCAAAGGACTTGAATAGACATTTATGCAAAGAAGATACATGAAAGGGCAATAGGCACATGAAAAGATGCTCAATGTCACTAGTCATTAGGGGAATGCAAATCAAAACTACAATGAGATACCACTTCATATCCATTAGGAACGCTGTTATCAAAAATACGCAGAAAATAACAAGTGTTGGCAAGGATGTGGAGAAACTTAAACCCTAGTGCACTGTTGGTGGGAACATACAATGGTACAGCCACTGTGGAAAACAGTGTGGTGGTTCCTCAAAAATTTAACACAGGATTACCATATGACCCAGCAATTCCACTTATGGCTGTATACCCAAAGGAATTGAAGTAGAGTCTTGAAGAGATATTTGTATACCCATGTTCATAGCAGCATAATTAGCAATAACTAAAACATATAAGCAACCCACGTGTCTACTGACAGATGGATAAGCAAAATGTGGTATATATATACAATGGGATGCTATGCCGCTTTAAAGGGTTAGAAAACTTTGCATTATACTACAACACAAACTTTGAAGACATTTTGCTAAGTGAAATAAACCAGTAACAAAAGACAAATACTGTATTATTCCACTTATATAAAGTATTTAGAGTAGTTAAAATGAGAGACACAAAATAGAATGGTGTCGCCAGGGGCTGGTGTGTTCAAGAAATGGGGAATTCTTGTTTAATAAACATTTCAGTTTTACAAAATGATGAGTTAAATAGATGGATAGTGGTAATGGTTGTACAACATGTATGAATGTACTTAATAACACTTGACTATATACTTAAACATGAATAAAATGATAAGTTTTGTTATATGTATTTTACTACAGTAAAAAAAATTGAAAATACATGAACAAGCACTAGAGAAAATAAACACAAATTGCTCAAAACATGTAATAAGGTAACACAGTTGAGGTACTATCTCATACGAAATGGATCTGGCAAAAATCAAAAAGTCAGTCAATACTAAGTGTTGACAGGGACACAGAGCAGTGGGAACTCTCATTTACTGCTGTTGGGAGTATGAATTGGTACAATCATTTTGAGAAATAATTTTTCATTACAGAGGAAACTGAAATTGTCCATACCCTAAAGTTCACAAATTCTACTCTTAGCTACAAAGCCTATAAAACTCTTGCACATGTACACTCAGAGACATGTGAAAATATGATCAACCCAAATGCCCATCACAAGTAAAAGAGGCAATCTGTGGAATATTCACACAATGGAATGCCATACAGCAGTGAACACAAGCTACAGCTTACACATCAATATGGAGAAATGTGAATAGCATGTTGAACAGAAAAGGCAAGTCACAAGAGAATACACATTGCATTGTTCAATTTATGTAAAGTTTATAAACGGGCAAAATCAAGAACTATGTTGTTTAAGATAGAATTATGAAGAAATACACAAGTTATAGTGGAAGAACTAAGAGACAGCAGGGAAGATTGTCTTATTAGTCTACTAGGGGCTCTAATAATGAAGTACCACAGACTGGGTGGCTTAAACAACAGAAATTTACTGTCTCATGGCTCTGGAGGCCAGAAGTCTGAGATCAATGTGTCTCCAGGTTGGTTCTTTCTGAGGCCTCACTTCTTGGCTTGTAGATGATAATTTTCTCTGTGTCTCCACATAGTCTTCCCTTTGTCCATGTTTGTGTTTCAATCTCTTCTCCTCTTTAAAAACTTGAGACAGGGTCTCCCTCTGTCACCCAGGCTGGAGTGCTGTGGTGCGATCTCTGCTTACTACAACCTCCACATCCCAGGCTCAAGTGATCCACCACACCTGGCCTAAACATACGTTTTTATTTTTTACATGGCTGGACCAAGAATTGTCCAAATCTTTGTTCTGCTTCCCTTTGAATTATAAACGATGTCTTTAAGTAATTTCTCTTCTCCCATTTTAGCATAAGCAGTTAGGAGAAACCATACAGCATTTTGAACACTTCGTTGCTTGGACTTTTCTTCTGCCAAATATTCTAGTTCATTACTTCTAAGTTCTGCCCCTTACAAAGTCCTAGAACATGGACATGGACATAATTCAGCTATGTTCTTTGCCACTTTGTAACAAAAGATGGTCTTTTCTCCAGTTTCCAATGATATTCCTCATTTCTATGACCTTATCAGAATGGTCTTTACTGTCCATAGTTTTACTTATGCAGTTTTTGGAAGAATGAGACTTTCCCTACAGTTCTCTTCTTCTAAGCTCTCACCAGAATCACCCTTAATGCTCCACTCATGGCAATACAAGCTTTTTCCTGCTTTCATTTCAAAATTCTTCTAGCCTCAACCCATTACCCAGTTCCAAAGCTGCTTCCACATTTTTAGGTATTTGTTTTAGCAACACCCCACTCTGGTACCCATCTCTGTCTTGGTGCATTTTGTGCTACTATAACAGAACAGCATAGGCTGGGCGACTTAAACAACATTTATTCTCATAGTTCTGGAGGCTTGATAGGCCAAGTTCAAGGCACTGCCATCTGGTAAGGGTTGCTCTCTGCTTCCAAGGTGGTGCCTTGTATGCTGTGTCATCTGGAGGGGAGAACACTGTGTCCTCACATGACTAAGTGAAAGGGCAAAAAAAGAATCCCCTCCATCAGGTCTTTTAATTATGACATTAATTCATTCATGAGGGTGGTACTCTCATGACCTCCTAAAAGCCTGCACCTTCCTACTCTGTTGCATTGGGAATTAAGTTTCCAACACATGAATTCTGAGGGATAAGCAGTGCGACTCCTAGAGGGATGAATGACTGAATAATAATTCCTGTGTGTCCCCAGAATTAGCAGAGGGCCAAGTAGAACAGGCACAGACATGTTGCTAAAAGAATATGTTTCATATTTGTCACTTACAATTATATTGGAACTCTACTGTGAGCATACAGGATAGTCTTAGAAAATAATTGATCATCAAATCTAAACCTACCAAAATTAATTCAGGAAATGTCACCTACTAGTCCTGGAAATATTGAGTTGATATTAGGTTGAACCACATGGAAAGGCCAATGCTTGATCATTTTTTACCAAAAAAAAAAAAATGGCCAATCCCTATGGTTCAACCTAAGTCAAAGGCCTGAGTAGTTTTTCTTTTCTTTTCTTTTTTTTTTTTTTTTTTTGAGACGAGTCACCCAGGCTGCAGTGCAGTGGTGTGAATGGCTCACTGCAACCTTCATCTCCCAGGTTCAAGTGATTCTCCTACCTCAGCCTCCCGAGTAGCTCGGACTACAGGTGACCACCACCACGCCAGGCTAATTTGTATTTTTAGTAGAGATGGAGTTTCACCATATTGGCCAGGCTGGTCTCAAATTCCTGACCTTGTGATCCGCCCACCTTGGCCTCCCAAAGTGTTGGGATTACAGATGTGAGCCACCATGCCCAGCCTGTTTTCATTTTTAGGAGGAGACAAAAATGATAAAGCAACTTATTAAATCAAAACCAGAGGCTACCGTCAGACCACACTGTAAGGGTCAGGTAAGTAGGAGCCCATCCCCAAAATGTAGTTTCTCTCTAAAATAGGCAATCTCAAGAGTAAAATATTTTCTCATTTTAATCAAGAAAGCCAAGAGGCAAGGGCTTAGCAGGCTTCTCTTACTATATAAATTTCAGTGCATGTATGAAACTTTTTTGTTGCAAAAGGTTTTACGACATTTAAGTCTTACTGGGACATTATTTTTAGTGACTGGAGGGCTTAGAACAAAGGCTTGTCAAACTCCAATACTGAATGGCTCCATTGTGATTACTTATAAATCAGTTTTATTGTCAGTGTTGGGCTAATCAGAGATTAGCTCATGCTTAAAAGCATAACTAAAAAAGTAATGCACCACTGAGGAAGAGGGTTTTGTTGAATTTTTCTCCTGCCACTTTATCTGCAAACAATTTGCACCCACCGAGCACTGAGAAAAGCTCTCTTAGGTAACACACTAATCTTGTGTCATTCATAAAAAGCATCACAGAGAATGTTGTTCTTGAAATATATTAATATATTTCAATGAAAATATATTAATGCTTGTTAATTTGAAACAACAATTAAGATCCTATGAGTAAGCTGTCGTTTTTAAATTGATCCCCCAAATTACATGGGGGCTGTCAGATGTCATGAACTTGGGGTTACATTCTGCCTACATTATACTATCCCCAGTTATTTTTTCAGACATCTGGAGACTAGCCTGAAATAGCACCCAATCATATCAGCAAGTGTTCTCCATTTAAGAGAAAATAGAGAAACTTGATCTCTATTGAATTATGATATATGGTGTTTTTCATGGAATCCACAGTGATGAAGCAAATGCTTTTTCTCAGATAAGACTGGGAAGCTGGTTGAAGATATGACTAAGTAACTCAGCATAGATTTTCTGAGTTACATAAATAAATGGAGCAAGCTCTACCACCAGCAGCAATTTGTCTCAAAGGGCATTAGTAAGCTCTCTGAAGTAAGAAAAGGCCAGGGAAGGGGAGCATGACACACTGTGGTGGGGTGGGGGGGAATAGGGGAGGGACAGCGGGGAGTGGGGAGTTGGGGAGAGATAGCCTGGGAGAAATGCCAGATATAGGAGATGGGGAGGAAGGCAGCAAATCACACTGCCATGTGTGTACCTATGCAACAATCTTGCATGTTCTTCACATATACCCCCAAACCTAAAATGAAATTAGAAAAAAAAGAAAGAAAAGAAAAGGCAACAGTGGCAAGACATCATGTACTTCCTCTAAGTGTGATATACTAGAGAGCATCATATGATAGAAATAGAGCTGGCTCAGTCTTTTCCAGAGGACAGAAGATGTGTGATATTTTCACCAAATATGGACAGCACAGTGCTCTCTAATGCCATTATAAAATTTAGTTAAAGGGACCTCAAAGTCCCTGAGAAGGCACTTTGACTGGACAGCCTTGCCAGGTTGAGTCCTAGAGGCAGGTAACACGAGCAGGGAGGAAGACACAGCATGGAGTCCATCAGACTCCTTATCTCACATCACACAGTTAGGATTAAGACTTCTCAGGCCAGGTGTGGGAGGATCAATTGAGCTCAGGAGTTCAAGACAAGCCTAGGCAATATGGCAAAACTCTATCTTTACAAAAAAAAAATACAAAAAATTAGGTGGATGTGGTGGCGTGTGCCTGTAGTCCCATCTACTCAGGAGGCTGAGGTGGGAGGATCGCTTGAGGCTGGGAGCAGAGGTTGCAGTGCGCCAAGATCACGCCCACTGCATTGCAGCTTGGGCTACAGAGCAAGACCCCATCTCAAAATAAATAAATGTAAATAAATGAAAAAAAAAAAAAAAGACTTCTCTGTCTGTTAAGAGAATTCAGTGAGGTAATGGATATGGCTGGCCCATTGTAAGATCTTAATATGTATGTGCCCTCAACCTTCCCATTTCTGTTGAACTGAATTTTTAAATCTTATCATTTCTCCCACTATGTGAGATTTCTATCCTCCGGGCTCCAAAGAACTTCTCATCCAAATATGGGAAGGCAAGAATCTTCAGCATGGAGATTTTCCTCAGCTATTCCTCTTAGAACTCACCTCTCCCAGTCCCTCAGTGTTTGGTCATGCTGCTGAACTGATGGAAGTCATCTGTATTAACTAGAGCTTGGCTCACTGACTCAGCTGACAACTTAATCTACCTGTCAGGATAATCTAAGAGCAAAATTTCATCTTTACCATCAGATGTCCTAGAGCATCAAGGTAAAGAAGTACAAGACTAAGGTTGTGGGTTGTTCTTTTTACTTTTATTCAAATAAATACAATACTTGTATATAGCCTGATTAATTTCCCTTGTCATATCTCTTCTTTCAGGTTTCAGGCTTAGATTTTAGACGTGCAGTGCTATGGTCACATTATGACTATTCTCTAAGTTGAAACAAGTATTTCAGATGCACAGGCAAATAGCAGACTCACCAAAAGACCTGTGGGTCACTTGCCCAAATGAGGCCGATTGAGATTAGAACAAATATCTTTTTTTTTTAGTAAAACCTCTATTTTTATAATGTACCTTTGGATAAAATGCAATTGTTTCTTCCCCTTCTTTCCCAGGCCAGGCACTTGAAAGTAAGACATTTCAGGGATGGGCAACCCAGTTCATTAATATCCACTGGATTTGATTTCCCAAGAAAATTAAAACTGTGTGAAAGAACACTGGATTTAGCATTTGGTATTAGAGTTAGTGAGACTGATAATGACTGAAATATTTTTGATGTGCTAGAGGTTAATTCAGAAATGAAGGAACTAGAGAAATTTCATTTGTTCTAAATTAGTCTTGCTTCCCCTGAAATTCCATTTTTAAGTAATAACTTCTTTAGTTTCAAATTAGTCTGATTAGTATCACCTTTATTGGGAAAAACTATTATCCTCTGTGGCTTGGCCTCTGGTATCTCCACATATTAATTTAAATAAAAGTATGCTAATTGACGGTTTGGCTTACAAGGAACTAGTTTAGGCAGTCACCCTTCTTATGAAGTTAGTTAGGGCTAATGTAACCTGTATGGTCAACTTCAGTTTAAAAATCTTAATTCTCATAAAATAGCAGCCAAATACAGAGTCTCAAAGCAAGCAGATTTGAGGCCAGGGCCAGGCTGCTCACGCTAATACACCATCAGCACAAACAGTGGCCCAGCCCTGGCTTCCTCCAGCTCCAAGAGTTGCCTCTGCAGAGTGACTGTGGCACCTCAGAGAGCAGGGCTGGCACAACCCCTGCCCTGCACGAATGTCCCTGCGAAGTCCCTGGGAGGACAGAGGCAAGCCCTGCTTCTTAGCAAGTTCCCACACTTTCTGCCTCTGATCCCACTTCCTCTGTAAAGATGCTATTTGGCTCAGCAGCAACCCAAGGGAGTGGGAATAAGGCTTCATGTGTTGAGAACTGCTCCTGCCTCCTTTTGACAGTCAAAGCTGGCAAGGTTGTTTGGAAATCTGACAAAGAGCAAGGCTACTTTCTACAAGTAAAAAATCCAACCACTTCACAGTCACTCCATTAAAGTAAAACTAAATCTCTCTGAAAAATAATATGCTTTGAAACTCTTTGTTACATTCATAAAAAGAAAAGGAAAAACAAAAATTTCAGTTTTAAAAAAACCCTTTAAAAATATTGTAGCAACAGCCTTCTTAGTAGCAAATATAAAACAGTTTAAGACACTTGGTGACTCTCTTATGCATTTGCTGAGGAATGGATACATAATGAAGTTTTACTACTAAAGTCAGGTATTTGGTAATAACTCTAGGAAGAGTTCCATCAAGAAAATGGTTATTTTGGAAAAACAAGTTACGATTTTTTCTAAAATGTCAAAAGAGATAAAAATGTAAACACCATATACTTAAAATGTTAATACAATATTAACTCAGTCAAATAAATAAAAGAAAGTGGCACCAACTTTATGGCAATTTTTCATAACAAAAATGTAGTTCAAGGGTATTTTAAAATAAATAATTGGTTCAAATTGGGACAACCATTCTCAGCACAAACCAACAACATTTAAAATAAAGTGCTATGAGAAAAAGTAGTCCCACAAACTTCAACTTGTTCACACATGAACAGAGATACTATCTGGATCTTTAGGTCTGAAATATTCACCACGAGGGAAAGCTAGAGGCCAGGCTTAGGTCCATCTTTTGTCATTTTTCTTTTTTCTTCCAGCGTGTGCTTAAATATTTTCTTCAGGGTGTTGTAAACTAATGGTCCATTTTCAGAATCAAAATTAACCTGGTGACAAAGAAATTTATATTCAGGACACTGTAACAAGAATTTTAACTAGTTTCTATTTTGAGAAGGAGGGGGTAGAGAAAAAAACAGACTTACAAACAAAATTCTATATAAAATACAAATAATAAATTTCACACATTTTAATTGAAAGACTATGTTAGAACTGCCAACCATGTCAATACCAAACTCAAGAATGAAAACCCCAAAATTAAATCTAGTCCCTGGATACTTAGTTTAATTATATACAGCCAGTCATGAAGCAATTCAACAGTGGGTGTGAAATGACTTTTTTGAGACTAATCTTTGATGGTATAAGGGAAAAGTTTCCTGTATTAAAACAGCACATCAGCTGTATGTGTCCTGCTGAGAGGCCCTACAGCCACTCTGGACAGAGTCAGAGTGACCTGAATAGAAGCCTAGGACACCTGCTAGCTATGTGTCCTCATCTCCTATCCAACCTCTCTGGACCTCGATTTCCTCCTGTGTAAATCAGAGATAAGTATTCCCACATCATAAGATAGTGTATCTATGATTCTTAACATATGTTTGGTACATATATACAAACCTCAATTGGCTGGGCGCAGTGGCTCATGCCTATAATCCCAGCACTTTGGGAGGCCTAGGTGGGAGGGTTGCTTGAGCCCAGGAGTTTGAGACCAGCCCGGGCAACATGGCAAAACCTCACCTCTACAAAAAATTAAAAAATTAGCCGTGCATGGTGGCACACGCCTTCCAAGTAATGCCAGCTACTTGGAAGGCTGAGGTGGGAGAACTGCCTGAGCCCAGGAGGCAGAGCCCAGGAGGCAGTTCAGTGAGATTATATCACTGAACTCCAGCCTGGTTACAGAGTGAGACCCTGTCTCAAAAAAACAAACCAACCAACCCCGCCTTGATAAAAGTAAATTTCCTTTCCCCTTGATGGGAGAGCACTATTTACACAAATTTGCATTTTTCACCCAAGTTTACCATACTCTGGGTTAGGAGTGATAACAAGACAGAGAACCAGAGTGTGTACCCATCCTCAACCCCAAACTCAGAGAAACGTGTGACTCCCTGGGAAAGAATCAGGGTCACACAATTACTGCCTCTCTCCTGGAATTTCTCCTTCTCTGATAAATTCCGACAAAGGGAAGGTTGTTCCCTTTGTCAAAACTGTAAAGGATCTTAGATTTTGACCTGTTAGCTTGCCAGTGTCATGGATCCTGGTACAAGATATAAGACTCCTGGGTCAGAGACAGATAATTTTTATTTCTCACAGCTGTATGTGCTTCATGTTCACATGGGTTCTCCTTGTCTCCCAAGTCCCACGGGGGCAGTGCAGAGGGGCTCAGGTGGAGGCTGCACAAGCATGGGGTTTGCCTCATAGCTGAGGAGCCCCAAGCATAGGAAACTCCAATGTTTTACAAGGGGGCTGCAAGCAAGTCTGCCAACCTTTGCCCTGAAGAGAAAAAGTTTTATTATCCTGGAAGGCAGAATGTGTGCCTTCTGCCCTCCCAGCAGAGCCCTGCAGACATCAGTGAAGAGTTAATCCCCAAAGAGAGTGGTCAGTGCCTCTGCGCATCAGATTATGAAGAGACACAAGAGACCCAAGGAGAACTGTCTCCTAACATTTTCTATAGACAGATTCTGAACGACTGCTAACTCTAACTTTTGATTCTATAACTTTCCATTAGTATCCCCTTAAAAGGCCAATAGAAGTTATAAAGAATTCCTACTGCTTTCAGAGAGACTAATCTTAAGGATTTTTTTTTTCAGTCAAGCTCAGGAATTTATTTAACTATATTGTTTATCCCATTTGCAAAAAAACTCCTTATTAACATTAATAATGGTCTGAATTATTTACTTTCTTAAACACCAAACCACAACCTTCTTTACACGGTAGGTAACCTCTCAGTCTATGAAAATGCAAGTGCAGATGTAAAGGACCACGTGGTTTGGATTTGAGACTATTGACTCTGGAAACAATAGCGAACAGACTGAAAAGATGTCAGCAGTTAGTGCCATAAAATCCAAATGAGGAACAAAGAACCTGAAGTAAGAACATCACTTTGGAAAGAGTGGAGAGGAAGGAAACTGGACAAATATTAAAGATGAAGAATCTCTATAACTCGTGAATAAGTACAGATAATAACTGCTATTATCATTAATATTAGCAAAGATGCTGTCATTCAAAAGCCGGGTCCTTTGTTTAATGACAGTTTCATATCGATGACAGGTAATAAACAAATTATAGATACTTTCATATCAATGAGAAATACAAAGAAATTATAGCTGATGGGGTAAGGGAAAAGTTTTCTCTGGGTGTGAACCTGGCTAATGCTTCTTTCTTCAGCCAGGAAAAACTACTGCAACCAAAAGGATGGGCTTTTAGAAAGAAACCTTTTTTTAACTCTTTCCTTAGGATTTGCCAACCAGGACTCAGTTTAATTTTCAATAGATGGTTTCTTAACTTAAACCCAAGGTAGAACTGGCCCGACAAGCAAAGATTCTCTGATTCTAATTAGGCATATGATCTAAAAATATGTATTCAATGCACAGTTGTTTCTCTCTTTGTTTTACATAAAAGCTCTTTGTTCCAACATTCTCCTTCAAAAAACCCACAGTTCAGCTTTTCCTAAGATTATTGTTCGGAAACTTTGTTTTTGGTCAAAACTCTGCAACTACTCAAAAGAAATGTCAAACACATTTCCATGGAGGGAAATGTATACATACATGTTTTATTTTAGAGGACAAAGGTGACCTCTGGATTCTGATTTACAAAGTTGATGCTGATCTGAGGTTCACAAAGGGGAAAGGAAGAGTGTGACCCACCTTAGTGAATGCCTTAATGGCATGGGCAAGGAAAGCTTCCTCCACATCCATGGGAATTGTCTGCAGGTTCACTATGCAGTGCAACACGCAGAGAATTGTCTGGTGCTGTCCCTGTTTTTGTAGAAATCGAAATTTTAAAAATTGTTCAAAACTATTGTAGAAAGAAGAATTGGTTTGTGACCAAGTACTCATAGTGTCAAATGCCAAAATATCTAACAAAATATCTAAACATCAAAAAATATTTATTGTTATGCGTTAATATAATTTAAAAAGCCTTCAGGAAATAATATCAAAGCTGGCTAGCTATTGCACAAAGTAAAAGTAAATTTAAAGATCACTGCAATTTTAAACCAAGTTTTTCTCCTGCAGTGAACTGAATAGATTTTCCCGTTCTTGTTTCTGGCTATAATTATTTCAGTTGTCCAGTCTGTATCGTCTGTGTACACATGTGTATTGTCTGTCAGTTGTATCGTCTGTGTACATGTGTGAGTGCATGTATCTGCATGTCTGCATGTGCATGTGTCCATATGTGTCCGTGTGCGTGTGTGTGTAGTAACAGCAGATTTTTAGTGAAATTTAGAAACTGAGGACATGTTTACACTGCAGCATAGTAGGTAACTCAAGTCTGATTATTAGATAACATTGTTTCTTAAAACAAAAACAGGCCAGGTGTGGTGGCTCACACCTGTAATCCCAGCACTTTGGGAGGCCAAGGAGGGCGGATCACATGAGTTCGGGAGTTCAAGACCAGCCTGACCATCATGGAGAAACCATCTCTACTAAAAAAATAAAATTAGCCAGGTGTGGTGGCGCATTCCTGTAATCCCAGCTACTTGGGAGGCTGAGGCAGGAGAAATCGCTTGAACCTGGGAGGCAGAGCTTGCAGTGAGCCAAAATCATGCACTGCACTCCAGCCTGGGAAACAAGAGCTAAACTTCATCTCAAAAAACAAAAAAACCCAAAACAAAGCCTATGTTAAACTGAAAATTTAGTATCTCTGTATGGTTGAAAAGGCCCAGTTATATAAAAGGATTCATACAATTTCTCCCATTTCCTACATCCATTGTCTTCTAATATCATTTCCTAAAGGTAACTACTATTACCAGTTTCTTATTTCTCCTTCTGTGTTTTATACATATATAAATATCTTCTCTTTTAATCATATAGCTTTTATACACATAGAAAATATATTTTACACATACAAATTATATATACATGTATGTATGTGGGACATCTACCCCTTTTTAAAAGTATCAACCAGCGCATATTCCAACCTACTTCATAGTTTTTCCATATGCATGCTCATAGCAAGTAAGTAGAAACAAACGCCCAACAGTGAAAAAGTGGTTAATTATGGCACATTCTTGTGGTACAGCATCATATCCATTACAGTCAAAATTTATGAAAAGCTTACATTATTCATGGGAAAACAGCTATAACTTTAAGCAAAAAGGAAACATAAACTTGTATGGTAAAATGATTTTTACCAAGTTAATATACATATTGCTAAGTTTAAAAGATTTGAAAATGTTTGCAGTGCCTCTCCCAGGGCTATGGATCGTTCCCCTTTTTATTTTTGTATTTTCTAAGTGTTTACACTGGGTATTAGTTTCTTCTCTTCTCTTGGAAAAATAATTAAATTGGACCTAGATTTGGGATTCTGTACAAATTCCATTTTTTATAATGGATTTTTCTTTCTGTGCAAAAAACTAAAAGCCTCAGTTAACAGTCATTAACTGGTCCTATATATAGCCACTTTACCTTCTCTAATAAAAACAGTGCTTCTGCGGCATCTGCTCGCCTGTCAACCAACATGTCCACATCCTCTTTGGTGATTACAGGCTCCTTCAGTTGCTCCACCCAAGACCACATCAAGCTGCATAGGATGAAAGGGTCCCTCTCGCCACATATTCTTTCCCAGGCTCCATCTCGGGAATTTAGCTCTTTCTAAAAAGGAAGAGAAAGAGACAGAGGCAGGGAGAGGAGAGAGAGGTGCACACTGGATGATTTTTGTGCTGCCCACGAGAGTGAAAGGCTCAGGCTCTAGGGTACAGAACTGGAACCCCCTCCCAGCCTCTCCACTTCCAGGCTGGACACTGGAATAAGACACTGAATTCTGTAAGCCTCCGTTTCCCTCTATGAAACTCATCCCCTGCCTCACAAGCTGTTGGGCTGACTGACTGAGATAAGGTCTGTTAAAGCTTATAGCACAGAGAAAGGGCTTAACTGTCCAAGTTCTCTACTTTATTCAGAAACCAGAGAAACAGTTCAGAAGAATCTTCCTTTTCAGGCTTCTGGTGAACAAAACAGAACTATTTTTTGCAATAAAGTCAATGGTAGATGAAAAAGTACAAATAAGGGAACATTTATAAATTAACCTGGTGTCTAAGGAAAAGCTCTGACAGCTTCAAAGTCTGCAAAAATAAAATAAAAGTGCTTGAAAGTTGGTAAATGGGACACATGTATATCTTTAAAATATCTTTTTAGAATCCTATGTAGGATTTAACAATAAGCCCCAAGTCCTGAAATTTCACATGGGGAAAATAACTAGAAAGTTTTTTGAATACTCAAAATGCCTTGAGAAAATTTAAGCATGAGATTTAGAAATTTTACCTCACAAAGAGCAAGGGAAAAGTGAGCTAAGGATTTTAATGAATTTCTGACAGCATTCAGATTTATGTTTTAGTGAGTCAAATAAATTTTGACAATAGAAGTATAATAACTGCTACCATTCACTCATTCATTCACCTATCCAATATTTACTGCATGCACACAGTGGGACAGAAACTGTAATACACGACTATCTCTAACCCTCAAATGGCACCCAGCAGGGAGGTTCCCTACTGATAAATGTATTGGGGCTCAAGAAAGATGAAATAACTCACCTAGGAGCCAAAAGCCAGAAAATGGCAAAGGGGGTATTCATCATATCCAGTTCTGCCTCACTCCACAGTCTGTGCTGCTTCTGCTACACCACAAGGACCCTGGTTTCTCTTTATTAAGTTATGAATACGCTAATACTTTGTTATTCATAGTCCTTCCTGTTGCACAGATCATGTATGTAACAAAGCTCTTTATTCAATCTTATGAAGAAGACAAGCTGGGCAGAACTGACATTACTCAAAAACCCTCTTAGCAAAATGGCTATCTATCATGATATTTCCTGAGGCTTTCCAGTGAGGTTAGCCAAGAATCCTGGGATAATGGAAAGTGTTAAACACATGAGCTGTACCCTGACTCTGCCACATGTATGCCATACCCTCTAACCTCTGTGACCTTTAGTATCCCCATCTGTGATACTGAATTCTTAAGATTAACAAGAATGTAGAAATAGTATCATCTGCCTCACAGATACGTTCTCTAACTGTGAAAAATCACCTGAAATAATACATGTGAGATGGTTGCGTACAGGCTTAGGTACCATTATGCCATTCAAATCATGTTCACTTTATTCTTTTCCAGAATTCAACTTATTGTTTTGATTACTAAAAGTCCTAAAATAAAATATAGAAATGAAAAACTCTCCTGATAAAAGGCCTGTGTTCACCTCCAGAAAATGCTTTCATATATGCTACATACAGTCTGGCCCAAACCAAGTCCTGAATTCTTCATCACCACAGGCAGAGCGCACATGGGCACTGCGGCTGACCCAGGAGTGGGGGTGCAAGATTTTCATCTAAAACGGAAGACTCTCTTGCTTGCTAACTCTTAACACACTGTAATGCCCAGGAAACATTTGCTGACTGAATGACTTTTTCAGTTTGGAGTAGGAAATAAAATAATTCATTTTGGGAGAAAGCAATACATTTAACTATTGGATAGGCGAAACACAATTCTGAGGAACACAATTTTTATCAAAAGTTCTCTCATCATATAGTTATCAGTTAGTGTGAAGCTCTAAATTTTCATGCCTCTGCATCTGAAGAGATACTGACACTCAGAAATTTTATATGCCTTGTTTAATCAATGGCAGACTATGAAAGCAAGCTATTAAAATAACTCACAGTAGATAACCTGCCTGCCTGGGGTGGTGACCAACCTGGGCTCAAAAGTCAAGATTTCAGTGTCCAAGTCACTTGGACTTGTTGACAACTGTCCAAGTCAGCCTCCTTTTGGGGTAGTCTGGCTGTTTCTGATAGCTAGGTTTATGAGGCCTATCTTTTCTCTAGACCAAGTGCTGATTCAGAGCAAAGAAAGTGTGGCTGACTTAAAACTGTACCCTAGTAAAAGTACAACACAAAAAAAGAGTTAAAAATTTATATTCTAATTGAAGTAAAAGCTAAGAAATGGACCCCAAAGACCCTAAAGTGAATGGCACGCAGTAATCTGTGGTTCCTCCCACTTGCTCTCCTGATTTCCCATAGTTGCCCGATTAGAGCAGGATTGGCAAGTCTGAAGGAGAGGATGCCAAGGATACAGCCTCACTCTTCTGACCTTGCTCAGCACTAGTGCTGATGAGCTTTGGAAAATAACTATTTTATTTATGTCTCTAGCTCAGTGGTTCTCAAAGTATGGTTCCCTCTGCCAGGCCTCAGGTTAAAGATGCTTCAAGTGAGTTTCTAATGCTGTCTGTTGTGGGCCAGTTGCCTCCACAGACCCAGCAAGAAAGTAGAAAGCTACCAATATCAATGCCTTGTGCGGGTCAAGCATCGTGCTAAGTGCTTTCCTGCATATGCAGATTTAAATGAAACCACACAAACACCCTGTGACTTTTCTGTAACATCAGGTTCGCATCACAGATGAGAAACCTGAAGTTAGAAAGTTAAGTATTATGCAAATGTATCTTCATATTTCACTTGGGAAGTTTGAGAAAATGTATTTCACTTTTGCTCTGACATAAATATTTCCCACATAACTATAATTAAATAAAGTACTAATAATACCTGCCACATTTCTACCTTCCTTTTTAGTTCCTCTTTTTCTATAGATTCGTTTAAATTTGCTAGGGCTTTGGCCGCCAGTATTCTTCTTGCTTCAACACTCAATTCAGATTGCAATGTAGAGTGTGAAGCTGCTTCAGACAGATCTTTACTGTCCTGGATTTCATGTTCAACCAAGAACTGTGTTTTGGGCCTGGAGCCACAGTCCAGAGGGCTTCGGGGAGTCGTGCTGTTCTGCCTGACAGCACCAGGGCTCCCAACACCATGAGTTTTACACTGACAGTGAGACACTTGCTGGTGAGTAGGGTTTGGATCCTTATGGACATTTGAGAAGTTGGGTGAAACGGGCTCCCCAGGGCTGTTTGAGCCTGAAACATCTGCAGAGAAAGCTCCACTCTGCTGTGCTTCCTTTGGAATGAGCCCTCCATGGAAAATTGGTGACCCATTATCTTTGAGTCCTTTCAGGCCTCCAAACATAGACTGACTCCAGAAAGAAAGTGTGCTGCGAACCAAGGCTTCCTTATGTAAGTCTGGTTCTGGAGACTGTGGGACATAACAATGGCTTATGAGCTTCTGCTGCCTGGGGTGACGACCAACCAAGACCTGGGCAGGCACTGTCCGTGGAGTCTCCCCTTGCTCCAGAAGGTTCTCGGCCCTCTTTAAATCTGAGTCACTGTAGCTGAGCCGCCTTTTTAGGTGAGTCAGGGGTTGAAGGCACTCAACATTCCGCCTCTTCCAAAGGGGGTCAAACTCTTGCTCATTGGAGAAAACCACGTCTCGATTGTCAAAATCTGCTGCCACTGCAGTGGGGTTAGACGGGTTGGACACATCACTGCTAGGCCTCAGTAACTCTGTATCCAGCTGCATGGTGACCATCTCAGACATGGTCTTTTCTATTTCAGCAGAGAGACCAGGTCCTTCGGACACATCCTTCATCATCACTGGCCTGTTCTCAGCTAAGTCTAGCAGCAATTTGCAAACTAGGTGGATAATTTTTGGCACGTGTTTCAGAAGTCTTGCCTCATAACCATGAAGCAGATGACGCTGGCGAATTAGATATTGAGCTAAGGTGACAGCATGTGCTTTGGGATCACAGCAAGAGAATATATTGCGGAGAGGAGTTAGAAACTGAGTAAATTCCCTTACACAGAGGAGCTGTCCTCTGGTTTGTATGGAATTGGGTCGTTTTGCCCGCACAAACATAATTGCTTGGTCAGCAGTCATTCTTGTTGCAAAAACTAAGTAACAGGCTATTAGAACACCTAAACAGTGAAGAAGAGAAGACTGGTATGAGAAAAGCTTACATTTTTATTTAGTTTATCACTCCTTGATGATTTAAAATTTGAGTATGTGTTAAGAAACCATATAAATAGAGACGCATTTTAAGGACAATTATGATGATAACTTAATGACTTTTTGTAGAGGTATTATTATTATATGCTCCTTACTGCATAGAACTTTATTAAATGTCTATATGGCACCCCCTCCCCATGACTGAGTCATCTCAGTAGCCCAGAGCTGTGCCAGCAGAGGCACAATATAAGTGAGTAAGTGTGCCAGGAGGGAAGGGAAACTGATCATCTGACCCATCTATCCTCCTTGTTCTACTCAATTCCAACAGAAGAAAGAAAATCTGTTTCTATTTTCCACTCTGAGCAGTTCTTGAGAATTTCCATCCAATCAATCCATACGCTTTGTGTTTGGAACCTCCCACCCTGCCATCTTTGCCATCAATTGCTGGCACTTCACAGCTTGGCACTCTCCCTACCAGGGCAGTTTCTTCTTTGGGGATTATTCACATTCACAGCCTACTTTTCTTCTGGCAATTCTTTTTCCAGATTTGTGCCTATATTAATATGTGTTTTTCTTCAGACCATGATATACCTCTATTTTTCCATAAGCAATTATGGAAAATTAAGCAATCTCAAGGAAGCCAGCCTTAATGGTGTAAACATTATGTATTCTTATTAACATCTAATTAAAAGGAGTAACTAATGAAAAGGTAATAATTAATAAATTAATTCAAATATAACAGTCCATTAATATTAAAGTAAAAGACAAATCAAATATACCTATGTGATCCCCAAGTTTGTGAACATCTTGTTACATATGAAAATCTGAACCTCTGAAAACTGCATGCTCTCCAATTCACAGTCAGGAACATCATACCTTTCTCACTAGAACACAGAAGATCTTAGTAAAAATGTAAAATGTTTGCAGAACTATCTTGTCAATGTCTAGAAACAGTGAGATTTTGGCTTGATCCTAAGAGCTACCAGTCTCAAGCAGAGCTGAGTCCCCTCCCTGAGCATGCTCCCAAGTATGTGGCAGATCCCCTGGTGGGAGCACAGGTACACTGCGGACAGAGTTGAGCTGCATGTGCCTGGATCAGATGACAATGAAATATTCAGCCCTAAGGTCTTTATTTTTGCCCTAATACCAGCATTGTAATAAAATTCTGCTGAATTCTTAAGTAAAATCACTGACTTTTTAATAGAATTCTAGGCACAGATAGACTCTCCTTTACAAACAAAATCCTTATACCTCCAAAAATAGAAAGCACATGAACTGGGGAGTCAGATAACCATGGACTTAAAGCTTGACCCTGCTACTTACTCAATGTAGGAGATTACTTTACTTCTCCCAAACTGCAGGTTCTTCAACTCACATTGTTGCTGAAGACTTTAAAATGACATACATATGGTCATTGTAACTACCTGTTTACAGTATCTTAAAAAATATTCAAATATCTTTAAAAATGTTTTGATTTAATTTTTGAAGCTGACATATAATAATTTTACATATCTATGAGGTATATAGTGATGTTTTAATACATATAATGTATAGTGATCAGATCAGTGTATTTAGTATACGCATAATCTTCAAACATTTATCATTTCTTTGTGTTGGGAACATTCAACATCCTCCTTCTAGCTATTTGAAACTATTATATATAACTGTTAACTACAGACAGCCAACAGCGGTACAGAAGGCTAGAACTTATTCCCTTCTTCCACCTGACTCCAAAGCTTTGATAGGATTGTGAGAAACATTTATCTCAAATTAGGAAACCTTATTCCTTTTACATTTAAATATGCCTGTGAGACAATAAAACCACCTCTTAGGACTTACCTGTTCGACCAAGCCCTGCATGACAGTGGATAGCTACTTTTCCTTCCTGTAAGGCAAATGTCATCACCTTCACCATATCTAGGATGGTTGTAAGAGATGCTACACCATAATCCTTCCATCCGAAATTGTAGAAATAAACTAAGAAAAAAGAAAAGGAAAAGAAAATCAACATACAGGGAATTGATGAAAGTACACACATTAATGAAAAGTACACAGATCTACACTGAGCCATGTAGATGTCAGTGCATACACTGCATAAAGTAAGAGGGATTTTACATTCCCAGTAACTTTACTGCTAACATTTACTTGCAAAGCACATTTTATATTACTTAAGACATTTCCTGCAGAAACTCAGCCAGAAAGAATTATGGCAAAGTACAATTGCAAATTAATAAAGTCAATGATTCATGCCATAGTTACTCAGCTATGGAGGGATTGCATTCACTCTTATTTAAGCAAGGAAATGTGTCTAAATGACTGATAAATAGCTAAAGACAGCACATACTGATTTTCTATCCAGTGTAAATCAGCTTCTTGAAAACAAGTTCCAGATTGTTTATCCTTTCCAGCTTGGTTTGAAGGACACATGTTGAGTGTATTTCATCCCAAAGCTCCTGTGATTGAGGCGGCTTTCAAATTGTTAGAAGCAGAATTCCTGGGCGACATTTTGGGAGTGGGGCTGGACAGCAGTAAAACCACGAGCATGTCCAGGTTCCAAACCTGACTACCATTTCTAAGCTGTGTGATCTTAGGCGGGTAGGTAATTCTCCAAGCCCCTGTGGCTGGCTTCATGTGTAAAACAGAAATAACAACTATGTTACATAACTGCTTTAAGGATTAAATGAGATAATAGTGGCCGGCATACTGCAAGCATTAACTAATGTTAATCATTGTTACTACAGGGTCTCCTCCCAACATCCCTCTTACAGGAACAAAGAAATCCTGTACTTTCAACAGCAACACCAAAGAGAATGGTAGCTTTTTTTTTTTGATCCCTACTCCTATGCAGGAGGTATTTATTTTCATCACCTTTTAAATCTAAGAACCCAGCAGAGAAAAGTCTCTGAGTGCTGTCCTTGATAATTAATGAGAGGAGGGTGGGAGGAACTTACTGCCAGCCTCCATGAAAGCCTCAGGAAGGTATGTGAAGCCACTTTCTTGTTCCAGAGGGTTCCCACAGCTAGCATGCTCACCAGGGCGCTGGAGGTTGATTACTGTTTTTATGCCATGGCTTAAAGGAAAAAGAGCAGTCAGTCATATTGGGAGCTAGCATTTAAAAAAATTAATCATTTTTGGTATTAACATTAATTACTCTCAAAATCTTAATTTCTTACTTAAAATACACTCTTCACTGCCTATTGTTAAAATGAAAGCACTTTTTTATTTGAAAACAAAGGCAATGAAAGAAAATCACGAGTCTGCTCACTCATTGTGTGAACAATACAGCATTTACCTGAGGAACTGCTCAATGATGTGGTACTTCTCCAGGAGTTCGGAGGATGGGCGGGCCATGGCCAGTATGTTATCAGTGACCCTGTAAATGGGTGGAGGGACTGGTGAGATGTGCTGAAACCTAGGAAGTTCCAGCCCTGAGAGATGATTTTTTTCTATGATTTCAACAATTCTGTTAAAATATTCTTTTTTGTGTGTAAATTTTATTTGAACAGGTAATAATACAGTTTCATGGTTCAATAAAATCAAAACAATACAAAAATGTATGCAGTAAAATGTTTGCTCTCACCCATTTTCATCCACTCCATCAGTCTGTTCCCCATATGTAATCATGTGTATTAATTTCATGTTTATCATCTTAGTGTTTCTTTTTGCAAATATAAGCAAATATGAAAATTTATTCTTATTTCTCTGCTTTTTCTTGTACAAAAGGTTGTGTAGTAAAGGTACTGTTAGATATTATGCCTTTTTTTCTCTTTAAGTTAATATAAAAAATTTTGATAGTTTTTGGGGTACAGACAGATATTAGGTTCTGAAGATGAGTTCTTTAGTGATGAATTCTGAGATTTTGGTGCACTTGTTTAAGAATATTCTTATACAAATATGGCTTCAATTTTGCATGATTAGAGCTCCAAGAGACTCTAGTTTCTTAAATCCCTGGAAAAAATTCCAGGACATAAATTATTTGTGGATTCCAGAAAAGTATTTTCAAGGACTCTCAAGAGATTCTAGCAGACGCAATGGAGAAAACTCAGCTGGTGGTGAAAGCAACAGTCTAGATGGTTATCCACTGGGTAGTGACTAAGAGGAGGGCCAATTGGGAGACATTTTGAGTTATTCAGCTATCTGAACCTCAGTTACCTAAGATGTTAAATGGGGATAATAATGCCTGCCTCACAGGGTTGATGTGAGAATTCATTATGATGTGGATATAAAGTCTTTGGCGCAAATCCTGGCATGCAGTTACAAATAAATGCTGAGTTACTGTAATTTGGTGACAAATATGGGCTCCAGAGTCAGTTGGGCTTGGTTTCAAATGCTGACTTTTCTACTTTCTAGCTCGGTAACAAATTACTTGGTCTCTCTGGAACTCAATTCTGTCATCAATAAAATCACATTAACAGCTCACAACAGTTTTATGAAGATAAAAGGTAGTAATATGAAAGCATCTAGCACACTGACTGGCCTCTAGCCAAATGGATATTTACTGAGCCAAATGAATGAGTAGACAGATGCCCAATAAATGACTATTATTCTTGTCAGGCCTCCGGGCTCTGGCTTCCTTCTGTTCTGTTCAAATTTTTCATCAGCAGCCTAATGAGATATGTAAGATAGGAAGTTGTGGGTCACATGAATCTCAGGGGAATAACAGAGACTGGCAGAGCGGGATCCAAAATGACACCTTTCCCTCTGAAAGAAGGCATGCGATTTAAAAAGAAGGTTTGGGATCCCTGCAATTCAATAATTATTCAATGATAATTAGTGTAAGATGAAGGAGGATGTAATTGAAAGCAGCAGAGGTGAAAAAGACTCACATGACTAGCAAAAATATGCAAATGACCTAAGCTACATTATTAGAAATTTTCTTGTCTATGAATGTTTAATTCGTCATACTATTAGTATGATCGTGATGGACGATTATATGATCTGTGGCAAACAATGATGACAGTGGATCCCAGACTCTATCACTACAGATGTATTGAGCAAAAGTATAGGTCGTAAACTGGATATGCCAGTTAACAAATATCTAATTTAAAAATGGGTTCTTGATGTATAATATAATTCACTACTAGAATTAAACAGTGAATTCCTCTAAGTATGCTTCAAATACGATTTATCAGAATTTTTCAGATGTTGCTACATCAAAAAGGTATACTTGATTAGTTTGCTGTGTAATAAAAGCAGTATGATTAAAAAACAATATTAATTGTATTTGTACACCATAAAAAAAGCAAGTATGTTGTCTACTGAGCTGACAACTGTATAACTTCTATTAGGGTAGACTGAAGAGTATTTGTATGAAAATGTGACCTTCCATAGAGAATACAGTAAACATAAAAGCTGAAGCTTACCGGCATGAAACTGAAAAATTACACATGTACCTCATAATTTTCTCAAATTTATAGCTGAACAGTTATTATTTCTAAACAGTTCTGAATTTAAGAGCTATCTAATTACCCATTTCTTCAATACACTTTATATGTGTATCATTTCACATAATTAAAAAAAAAAAAAAACCTCTGGTTTTGGTTTTATTTCCACCCTACAGATAAAGAAACTGAGAGTCGGTAGGCCAAGATCACACAGCCTGGGCAAAGCCAGACCTGACTGCCAAAGTGAGGTCCTGACTTCAAAGTCCCACATTGCTCCTCCCACACTGCAGGTTCCTGGCTCACACAGAACTGACAGAACTATGAAAAACCAACAGGATCACTCACCAGGAAGAGTAAACCCCCTTAATGGCTTGCTCCTGCTCACTCCAGCGGGCTGGGTTCTCATACTTGCAAGCTCTACCACCGCACGCCATGGAACACGCCATGTGTCCAGGAATGACATGCCGTAAACGCTCTCCTACTTTTGTGTACTTTGGTGTTGGATGTGCTAAATTTCCTAGAATAAATAAGGAAAGGGAAATTCAAAATTCCACTCTCCAAATGAAATTGTAACATGGGAAGCAGCTTCCATTTTATCTCAGGATGGTAGATGACAAGCCAGTGCAAAATCCCCTCCATTTTGTCAAGAAAACAAAACTGTTTCCTTGTCATCAAAGTGACATATATCTCTTAACATAAAAAAGTTTTCACATATGATAATCTCCACATATACTAGCAATTAAGAAGAAGAAACTGTAAAAGTTTTACAAGGGAATGAGTTTTGTTCAAACCTATATTTTTAATCAAAAGACAAAACATTTGATCATTTTATATCTTCTTACATATTCACTAAAATATATAGCATAACAGACAGCGAAAAGTATAATATAGACGAAACTGCCAATATTTAAAAAGATATAAACACAATACAGCCGATTTCCATTCCTCAAACTTACATACAAAGATATGACAATCTATAAGAAGAAAGAGATCTTTACTTTTTCTTTCGTGGAAAGTTGGGTTTCCCTCTGCATGGCTGACTGAGGAAACAGCCACCATCACCTGGAGAGAGGATGAGGACAGCAGCTTCGTGGCAGAGCGGGAGCCAGAGCCCAAGCCCAAGCCTGAGCCAGAGCCCCGCCGGGCCTGCTGCAGCCGCAGTACTGGGTCCGAGGTGGAGTGCCGGCGGCCCTGGAGAAAGGAGCTGAGGAAGTGCACGGCTGAGGGCCGCCTGGTTGCATCCTGCACCTGCATGGCACTGGGAGGCAAGAGCCAGAGGCAGGGAAGAGTCAGCCCCACTTACTCAGTGAGGAACTTTCACTGAGAGCACGGAGCATTGCATTGTTCCGTAGGATCTAAGAGCCACTCAGATTGGCTGACTGGTTTCCATGGTGACAAACAAAGAAACTACTGATTCTCACTTACATATGAACGGGCAAAATCCTATATGAACAGATTACATTTGGGAACAACTGTTCAAATAGAGGGAAGAAGAATATAAATTTTAAATACATTTATTACTAAATTTTGTTTCTCAAATGCACTTAAAAGATCTAACTACTCAAAGAACTACCCTCAAAATATTGCACTGAATTTAGAAAACTGTATTCATGATGCAAACACTGCCTTTTACACACACGTTAAAAGGCTTAAATTCTGTTATTCCTTTCAGAGCCTGTCTCTGGATATTTTGGAAAAAATTCTCTTTCTACTCCTCTTTTGAATAGTGTAGAAAAAAGTTAATTGTAATAAAGTGGGATATGCCGGATACCTTACAACATTATTAAAATATTCAATTTTTCACAACCAAAACCACTCTTATTTTTTTCTTGGTAAAACTATGAAAGAAATACTTGGATAGAACAAATGAAGACATTTTTAGAGGTGACATATTATCAGAAGACATTTAACTTGACATTTGCAGACTATGAAAACCTGATTCTTAGTCATGCCTCTGTTGGACAGGTATAGAATGCCTCTCAAAAACTCAAAAACACCATTCTCTGCCTTTTGTTGCAGTGAGGGGAAAAAGGAAGCTTCAATAATATCTTGGCAGAGGCATATAAAGAAAACTCACTAAGTATCACATTTTTTAAGGAACTAAATGAGGGGAAGGTTGCAACGTGAAGATAAAGGATACAAAGAAAACAGAAAGTGCAACAACCACTAATGCGCTCATTGTCCGCCTCCTCTCTTGTTAATGTCAGGCTGCGCCCTCGCCCTTGCTTGCTCACTCTCTCTGCACAAATGGTACTTCAGATGTGTGTGCACAGAAACAAACTACTGTACTGCAAGAGATAAGGTTATTTTCTGTTTTTTTAAAAATGATTATTAATGCTATACTAAGCTCCTTTTAAAATGCCACCCCCATCTCCCCAACAATGTGCACTTTTGTGAAACAAGACAGGGACACAGAATCTCAATTTAGTGTCCAAATTGCTACTCTAAGTGTAGTATCATGCCTTTGTTATTTAGAAAACAGCCATGGAAGAAAGTCCTGGATATCCTTGTTAATTTTCTGTCTCGTTGATCTGTCTAATATTGACAGTGGAGTGTTAAAATCTCCCACTATTATTGTGTGGAAGTCTTAAGTCTCTTTGTAGGTTGTTAAGAACTTGCTTTATGTATCTGGGTGCTCCTGTATTGGGTGGGTATATATTTAGGATTGTTAATAACTATTCTTGTTGCATTGATCCTTTTACCATTATGTAATGCCCTTCTTTGTCTCTCTTGATCTTCGCTGGTTTAAAGTCTGTTTTATAAGAGACTAGGATTGCAACTCCTGCTTTTTTTTTGCTCTCCATTTGCTTGGTAAATCTTCCTCCATCCCCTTCGTTTTGAGCCTGTGTATCCTTGCACGTGAGATGGGTTTCCTGAATACAGCACACCGATGGGTTTTGACTTTTTATCTAATTTGCCAGTCTTTGTCTTTTCATTGGGACGTTTAGCACAGCTTTCCTGTCAGAGGAATTACATGAGGATTATTCTAGGCAAGACTCACAGGACCCTAATGGCAACACAGAAACAGCGGCTGCACAGAGGTCTGCATGATAAGAGTATGAACTTACTGGCAGGAGGCCCTAAATGCTCAAACTAAGGAGTTGAATATTTGCTATCTGAGTAAGAGGGAGTCTACAAAGATTTCTAGGCAAGTCTGTGCTTCTGAGAATGTTAACTTAGATCTTGAGAAAGAGTGGTGAGCTCTGCACAGACAAATCCATGCACTAGAGAACCAGCATCTGGGGACATCTACAGAGTAGTCAAAAGTAACTATACTAAAATGCAATCAAATTAGAACTCAGGATTAAGAAACTAACTCAGAACCTCACAACTTCATGGAAACTGAACAACTGGCTCTCGAATGTTGACTGGATAAACAATGAAATGAAGGCAGAAATAAAGATGTTCTTTGAAACCAACGAAAATGAAGACACAAGGTACCAGAATCTCTGGGACACATTTAAAGCAGTGTCTAGAGGAAAATTTATAGCAATAAATGCCCACATGAGAAGCAAGGAAAGATCTAAACTTGACACCCTATCATCAACATTGAAAGAGCTAGAGGAGCAAGATCAAAAAAACTCAAAAGCTAGCAGAAGACAAGAAATAACTAAGATCAGAGCAGATGTGAAGGAGATAGAACACAAAACCCTTCAAAAAATTAATAAATCCAGGAGCTGATTTTTTGAAAAGATCAACAAAATAGACCACTAACCAGATTAGAAAAAAGAAAAGACAGAAGAATCAAATAGATGCAATAAAAAATGATGAAGGGGATATCACCACCGATTCCACAGAAATACAAACTACCATCAGAGATTACTACAAACAAACCTATGTACATGGACCAGTTAACCTGGAAGAAATGGATAAATTCCTGGACACTTGCACCCTCCCATGCCTAAACCAAGAAGTCGAAACCCTGAATAGACCTATAACAAGGGCTGAAGTTGAGGCAGCAATTAATAGCCTACCAACCAAAAAAGCCCAGGTCCAGATGGGTTCACAGCTGAATTCTACTAGATGTACAAAGAGGAGCTGGTACCATACCTCCTGAAACTATTCCAAACAATCCAAAAAGAGGGAATCCTTCCCAGATCATTTTATGAGACCAACATCATCCTGATACCAAAATCCGGCAGAGACTCAATAAGAAAAGAAAACTTCAGGCCAATATCCATGATGAACATAGATGCAAAAATCTTCAATAAAATATTGGCAAACTGACTGCAACAGCACATCAAAAAGCTTATCCATCATGATCAAGTAGGCTTCATCCCGGGGATGCGAGGCTGGTTCAACATGCGCAAGTCTGTAAATGTAATCCATCACATAAACAGAACCAAAACAAAGACCACATGATTATCTCAATAGATGCAGAGAAGGCCTTCAACAAAATTCAAGAGCATTTTATGCTAAAAACTCTCAATAATCTGGGTATCAACAGAAAATATCTCAAAATAATAAAAGTGATTTACGACAAACCTACAGCCAATATCATACTGAATGGGCAAAAACTGGAAGCATTCCCTTTGAAAGCTGGCACTAGACAAGGATGCCCTCTGTCACCACTCTTATTCAATATAGTACTGGAAGTTCTAGCCAGAGCAATCAGGCAAGAAAAAGAAATAAAGGGTACTCAATTAGGAAGGGAGGAAGTCAAATTGTCTCTATTTGCAGGCGACATGACTATATATTTAGAAGACCCCATTGTCTCAGCCCAAATCTCCTTACACTAAGCAACTGCAGTAAAGTCTCAGGATACAAAATCAATGTGCAGAAATCACAAGCATTCGTATACACCAATAACAGACTTAAAGAGAGCCAAATCAAGAACGAACTGCCATTCACAATTGCTACAAAGAGAATAAAATACCTAGGAATACAACTCACAAAGGATGTAAAGGACCTCTTCAAGGGAAACTATGAACCACTGCTCAAAGAAATAAGAGAGGACACAAACAGATGGAGAAACATTCCATGCTCATGGTTAGGAAGAATTAATATTGTGAAAATGACCATACTGCCCAAAGTAATTTATAGATTCAATTCTATCCCCATCAAGCTACCTATGACCCTCTTCAGAGAACTGGAAAAAACCACCTTAAAATTCATATGGAACCAAAAGAGAGCCCACTTAGCCAAGTCAATTCTAAGCAAAAAGAACAAAGCTGGAGGCATCATACTACCTGACTTCAAACTATACTACAAGGCTACAGTAATCAAAACAGCATGATACTGGTACCCAAACAGAGATATAAACCAATGGAATAGAACAGAGGTCCTGAAGGCAATGCCACACGTCTACAACCATCTGATCTTTGACAAACCTGACAAAAACAAGCAATGGGGAAAGGATTCCCTGTTTAATAAATGGTGTTGGGAAAACTGCCTAGCCATGTGTAGAAAGCAGAAACTAGACCCCTTCCTGACAACTTACACTAAAATTAACTCCATATGGATTAAAAACTTAAACATAAGATCTAACACCATAAAAACCATAAAAGAAAACATAGGCAAAACCATTCAGGACATTGGCATAGGCAAGGACTTCACAACCAAAACACCAAAAGCATTGGCAACAAAAGCCAAAATAGACAAATGAGATCTAATTAAACTAAAGAGCTTCTGCACAGCAAAATAAACAATCATTAGAGTGAACTGGCAACCAACAGAATGGGAAAAAATTTTTGCAATCTACCCATCTGACAAAGGGCTAATATCCAGAATCTACAAAGAACTAAAAGAGATTTACAAGAAACAAACAAACCCATTCAAAAGTGGGTGAAGGATAACGAACAGACACTTTTCAAAAGAAGACATATATGGGCTTCATCCCGGGGATGCGAGGCCCCACAAATATATGAAAAATGCTCATCATTGCTGGTCATCAGAGAGATGCAAATCAAAACCACATTGAGATACCATCTCACGCCAGTTAGAATGGTGATCATTAAAAAATCTGGACACAAAAGATGCCGGAGAGAATGTGGAGAAATAGAAACACTTTTACACTGTTGGTGAGAGTGTAAATTAGTTCAACCATTGTGGATGACAGTGTGGCAATTCCTCAAGGACCTAGAAATAGAAATTTAATTTGATCCAGCAATCCCATTACTGGGTATATATCCAAAGAATTATAAATTGTTCTAATATAAAACACATGCACATGTACATTCATTGCAGGACTGTCTGCAATAGCAAAGACCTGGAACCAACCCAAATGCCCATCGATGATAGACTGGACAGGGAAAATGTGGCATATATACATTATGGAATATTATGAAGCCATAAAAAATGATGAGTTCATGTCTTTTGTAGGGACATGGATGAACCTGGAAACTATCATTCTCAGTAAACTGACACAAGAACAGAAAATCTAACACTGCATGTTCTCACTCTTAGGCAGGTGTTCAACAATGAGAACACATGGACACAGGGAGGGGAGCATCACACACTGGGGTCTGTTGCAGGGGACTAGGGGAGGGACTGCAGCAGGTAGGGAGTTGGGGAGAGATAACATGGGGAGAAATGCCAGATATAGGTGATGGAGATGGAGGCAGCAAACCACATTGCCATTTAAGTAACTGTGCAACAATCCTGCATGTTCCTCACATGTACCTCAGAACCTAATGTGCAATTAAAAAAAAAAAAAATATATATATATATATGGCACAATAAACACAACAAAGAAACTCACTAAATGTACCAGTGAGTACTGAGTTTTTTCTTCCTTAATTTCTACAAGTGAGCAGGTAAAACACTGAAAAGTGAGGTCTAGAACACCAAGAACTGGTAATTTCCTTCTATACTCAAGATTTCAGGAAGAGCCCATTACTTCCTAAAGTCATAGAAACAATAGGCTGAGAATGCAGTGGGTGCCTGGTGGGTGTGGGAGGCCCACCTATCCACATTCTTAAGTCCATGGAGGAGTCACTTCCAGGAATTTGCTGTACAGCTGAATTTCCAGCCTCGTGTTCCCTACTTTTTGTGACAAGAGGCTCACTTTACAAATGGGAACTATTCCACTGTTAAGACAGCTCAAATGTTTTCCTTCCTTCCTTCTTTAGAGGTGGGGATCTCACTATGTGGCCCAGGCTGGACTCAAATATTTGGGCTCAAGAGGATCCCCCTGCCTCAGTCTCTTGCATAGCTGGGACTACAGATGCCTGCCACCATGCTGGGCTTCAAATGTTCTCTAGTGCAGAGTTAAAAATCCATTCTATAAGCATTGGTTCTGGTTCTTCCTACTAAAAACAAAGAATAAAGCATCTCTTTGTCTTGAAAGATTTCCAAATATCCGAAGACAGAACTTTTCCAAGACTTTTCGCTATTTCTGTTTTTCAAACATTCCTGGGTATATGTCATTGTTTCTAGATCTTTCACTATGATTTTCCTTCTTCTGAGGGCCCTTCTTCCCTCCCTTTCATAGCTAAACCTCCAAACCAAGGTGACTGACCTGCCATCTCCACATGCCGCAGGTCTCATCCTTAGCCTACTCAGCTCTGGTCTCTGCCTCCACTCTCAACTCCATCTGCTCTTGCTAAGGTTTCCAATGATATTTCAAGGTGGACTCTTTAGAGTTCCTATTTGACTGCGAAGCAGCATCCAACACAACTGAATGCTTTAGTTTTAATTTGTAATTTTTAAAAAGTCAATACCTTGCTCTGTCACACAGGCTAGAGAACAGTGATGTGATCATAGCTCACTGCAGTCATGAATTCCCGGGCTCAGACGATGTTCCTGCCTCAGCCTCCTTGGCAGCCAATACAACAGATGCCTGCCACCATGCCTGGCCTATATATTTTTGAGAATATTTTACCTCTTTACTGTGAATCAATGTCAAACTTAAAGAAAAGTTACAAAAGAGTACAAAGAATATTTTTCCTTGGCTGGGCCCAGTGGCTCATGCCTGTAATCCCAGCACTTTGGGAGGCCAAGGCAGGCAGATCACCTGA